AGTATCTTTCTCTAGCAGGAAAATATATATATATATTATATTAAATGATAAACAATGTGCTTCCTTTTCATGACATCCAGAATCATTTGTCCAACTCAGCTATCTCTATGTGCCTAATAGAAGGGCTGGTTGGCCCTGCAGCAATTTAAAACCGGATCAACAGAATTAGTATAACAAGATTGTTATAACATGATTTGTGTAAAATGCCTTTTATTTCAGAGCAGTGCTAAAGTAAGGATTGTTATTATAAAGGGTCCTTCCACTCATTATATTCTATTTAGCTGTTGCATGTTTAGCTTTTTGGACATCATATATGCTTATTTTAGCTCACTTCTTCGGCCTTAGTTCAGTTAACTTGTCAGGCAGCCTTATTTTATAATGGTATATTGGCATACTCTGCTGCTGGAGAGAAATTATAAGATCTGTCCCTTCTTGGAGGAAACTTTCATTTCAGGCATTTCTATAAACTGTAATAATTTTGGCATGGGAAAGTAAAAATCCCTCCAAGGTACCTTAAGCTTGTGACATTAGTCTCAAGAGACATATCTTTAGCTGATCATGAAATAGCAATTTATTCCACTTGGAAAATAATAAGAGCACTTAGACTTATATACCACTTCACAGTGCTTTACAGCCCTCTCTAAGTAGTTTACAGAGTCAGCATATTGCCCCGAACAATCTGGGTCCTCATTTTACTGATCTCAGAAGGATGGAAGGCTGAGTCAATCTTGAGCCCTGTCAGGATCAAATTCTAGGCTGTGGGCAGACTTAGCTTGCAATACCTGTGCCACCAGGTATAAACTTCTTTGTTATTCTAATAACTTAGCTGAAATGCTCTTTTGAGTATTAGTTGATTTGCTTTATATATGTTAATGGTTACCATTATCTTGCCATCCTGACACTTGAATGTCCATCCCAATTCAATATATATATAGTGCCCTGTTATCTAAGTCTTTGACTTAAGCAATGAATCTATATGTCCAATTGTACTTCCTGTCTAGTTTTCTAGATGAGAATTTAATTGATAGCCTCCTTGAAGCCAATGTCATGTTTCGGATTATAACATTGAATTATCAATACAAAGATGCATAATACAGTGTTGAATATCATTAAACTATGTATGTTGATGAAGTTCTGCATAAAATAAACTCAGAATGAAATATTCTTTGAAAAGGCCTCTTAATATTTTAAGCTGACTTTTACTAGAATGGTTATATAAAATTATCCCTCAGTGAGACACTATATGGTGTGCTACAAGGTTCAGTCCTGGGCCTTGTGTTTTTCAGTATTTTCTTCAGGCTTTGGATGAACAGAACTGTTCACAATGACTCCAGTGTTTACAGTGACTCCAAAAGGATGAAATGTTCTTTGGGATGTCATACTACAGGTGCTGCTATTTTGTACTTCCATCATATTATCATAAGCAAGTACTAAGAGGTAGAATTCATGTTGAAATGCAAGCCTATCTGATTCTTTTTGGTATAAGAGGATAACTTTCATGATTCTGTTATGATGTCCTTTGACAAAAAAACAGAGCTTCCAGTATCCCTTGGGTATCCCTGACCCAGCCTACCTTGCAGACTGACAGCAACTGCCATAGAAATTGATTGATCCATTAATAAGAATATATTTACATTTTAGATAAAGCCAACTTCAAAGGCACTATTTCATCATTTCCTCAGCCACTTGAAATAAAAAGGTTTGTATTACTATTTATTAGATTGATAGGCATCCTTGCTGGCTCCATCACAACTTTAGGAGGCCTACAAGACCTGAATGACAGTAGAAATGATTCAGCAATGTACCATCAGCTGTGAGAGAGAATGGTGGGGAGTGGGGAAGGAAGCCTATATGGGAAATTAGTTGCAAAAAAAAAAAAAAATACTCATTAAAGAAAATTCATCTGGGTTTCAAACGAACAAAAAAAGAACCCATGAACCTTTATGCTAAATAAGAGCCACTGTGCACTTCTTATGATATTCATTTCTTGATTTCAGCTTATGAGCTTTTTGTTTATAATGCTGATGCTGTTTCATTGTCAACATTTAGAAAAATAGGAATACTGAATGATAACTGCATTTTGGTTTATTAGATTATATTTACATTGAACTGCTAATAGAACTAATTTTTCCTATATTCCCAGTTACGATGATCTTTTCCTCTACCCAACAGACCATTAATTATTTGACACAGAAGACAGCAAGTTATGTTCTTAGCTTTCCAGACTAATAATAAAAAATGAATGCCTTTAATTAATCAATACATTGTGTTAAATGTTGGAGAAGCAAGAGATATTTCATATTTCAATATAAAGAACCGAGAAGACTCTTCACTGCCATAAAAAACACTAAGCCCTAAACTATTTCTGTCATAGCACGTCCACTTTGAAGATCCTCAGCAGAGACTGGTGGAAATTCCAGCATGTCCCTTGAATTAGTCTGGCTTGTTCAGGAAGAATCAGCAATACACCATCAAGCTTCCTGTTCTATCATAACCACACATTTTCCCTTTGCATGCTAAACAAGGAAAACGTAGCCAGATAAATCTGCTTTCATATTTTAAATGAACAGTTTACTACATATTAATTTAGCAATTATAGCTGAATCAGAGATACTTTTATCGAAGCCTCTAGACTCTATAAATAGGGTATCTGGGAACAACATATACTGCTACACCATTATACAACACAGACAAGGAGATGTACACTAACTATGTTTTGATGTTATAAATTTGGATTGTGGATATTTATTGGCATTTTGGTGTGGTTATTTGTGGTTTACATATAGACCTTATTTAGTGACTGCTTCTTTTTGTGTCTCATCACAGTTATGATGGTGTACTATTTACAATCAATCCTTACATTTATGAGTTTTGCAGGTCTGAAAAAAGATCATAAGCAAAACTGCAGTTTCATTCAAAGGCCATTTGACTTAATAACTGAATTGTCAGTCTCAATTGTGGACACTAAACAAGGATTACCTGTATTGCTTTTGTAAGCTGCTCAGATTCATTTCAACTAAAGTGGAATAGAGGAACTTTGCTCTACTTTTGCTCACTGAAGTGGTTTCCCTGAAGAAAGTGACTTGAATTCATACTTCTAGGGCAGTGGTTCTCAACCTGTGGGTCGGGACCCCATTTGGGGTCGAACGACCATTTCACGGGGGTCGCCAAACAACGCAGTCCGCCATTTTTTCCCCTTTTCCTTGGCTGTGCTATTCCCTTTTATTCTATTGGCTTTTGAAAGCCAATAGAATAGACTCTCTTGAATAGAGTCTAATTCTATTGGCTTTCAAAAGCCAATAGGAATTGTCCAGGCTGTCTCTGCCCTGCTGAGCCCGCCAAAAGTCCCATTCTGCAAACGGTGCTGCAAGTTGACTGCAGCGAAGGCGAGCTGTTTGGAAGTTTCCACCCCTCCCTGCTGAGCAGCTACTAAAAATGTAAGTAAAAGAGGGCCAGGGGTGGGAGGTGGGAGGCCGGTGGGCGCAGGGAGGGTTGCTGGCACACGTGGGGCCTGGAGGGTGCCTTACCTCTCTTGGGCTGGGCCAGCTGGTGGCCCAGCCAGTGGTCGGCCTGCTCCATCTCTGCCGCTTGCCAGCTACACCTCGGCTGGCGCAGGGGGCGGCACCATGCACGCGCGGCGCTCCCGGGCAGGGAAAGTCCTTGACTTATGACCGGTTGGGTAGTCCTCGACTTACGACCGGTTGGGGTCGCGGCATTAAAAAGGTTGAGAACCACTGTTCTAGGGCATTGTATATTAAAACCTGAATTTCAAGAAGCTGTGAAAATACTATATAATCATCTCTTTAAAGAAAGCTTCATTTTAATGGGAAGTATTGGGCTTTTTTCTGATTAAGAATAATTAAATTTATGATTAACCATTTCTATCTATATTAATGGAATACATCACCCTCCCTAAATTAATTGCTTTGTTATTGAGTACAACTAATACATTGTAGAATACAAATAATGGTTAAGTACTGTGGTATCTGGTTCAATAGAAATTGGAAGCTATTAATAGTGTGATTATTTCTTTTGGAAATATGATTTTCAAAGAAAATGTATATCTTTGAGTTTAATACTTAAGTCTCCACTATAGTATTACTTATTTTTATTTATGAGTACTAAAAGGAAAAGAGAAGAGAATCTCTTGGAAAAGGTAAATAAACATTTAATTTCTAACCTCTTTTTCTGTACACTAATTGGTGGTGTTTACAAACATTTAAGCCACCTTTAAAACATAGTATAAATGTTTGTATTTGCCTCTCTGCATGTTGTACATGGGAATAATTCCTGCTGAAATTTAATTACACTTCTGTTGTGGATATATGCTATTCATTTTGCCGTTGGAAGTATTGTTAAGAACAATCTTTATATTGCCTGTGTGCTGCTGAGAATAGCATATCACTAGGGCCAACATCACAGAAGACATTATTTTCTTCTCTAAGCTGAAAAAAAGAAAAGAAAAATATTTTTAATTGTATGTTCTAAGTTTTGGAGACAACACAGAAAAATAATTGGTTTGCCAAACTTTTTTAGTGATGGAATTCAAACCTGATACCATTGTGATAGTCCTTGTATTAGGTTTGACTTAACATTTTCTTCAGAGCATTATATTGAGTTGGAGATGTTTTATAGGGCTTACTTTGTGTTCCTTAGTTTGTGTCCTTTCTTTGATTTGCTAACTATAGTTGTTGTTGTTGTTTTTTTTGATAAAAAGTGTTGTCAAAGTTGTAACATCTGTTCTTCCCTGGGACCTTATAGAACATCAGTTTTTCAACCCACTTACATAATAAAAATGTTTAGTATTTTTTACCTATAAGTACTAGCAAAATGACAGTATTATATTAAAAACTTAAAAATGAGAAAAAGTTGCATTCTTAATCCATACATTGCTCTCATTATGTTCTTAAACACTACAGATTTGGTTGGGGCCGGGCTTAATATTCATTAAAAATGGCATCCTTTTTTCCTTCATATGTGAATCCTATTTAATATTTCAGGCTGTGTACCAAAAATAACAGTGACATATTTGAAATCAGCAGCATACCCCAATGAAACAAAGTTGGATTTAATAGACTTTGTGGATTGGAAACCTGGAGATGAAGTTGTTGTATGCGGAGGAAGTTTTGAAGGTGCTCAAAAGAAAAAGGAAATTCTTACCATTAAGGAAATAAAGGGTACAGAACTCTACATTACGTCTCCACTAAGGTAATCATGCCTGAGTTGGCAGTGTTGCATTGGCAAGGCTCATGTGATGTTAATTTGAAGTTTATACAACTGTGGATCTGCATTGATACAATTGCATTTCACATACATAGGCGACTGCATACGTGTGCGGATTAAGTATTCATTGACGAAAGGGGAATCAATACTGGTGCTAGAAGATGTATTAAGGCTAAGTTCTGCCTTCAATTCAGCTTATTTCTGGCCTTTAAAAATTGACAGAATCGTTGACACAATTTGGTAAAACTAGCAGTATTTATTCTTATGTATCCTATAGGTATTCTTATGCTGTTACTGAAAAGCAGGTTCTCAAAGAGCATCTTACTTTTAGAGCTGTTGTGGCATTGCTGAGTAGGAATCTAGTCATCCAAGGAAATGTCACAAGTGAAAAAATTTCCCATCTGCAACTCTGTAAAGCCACAGCTGTTTCAGGAGGTGAGTGAGGAAGAAGTGCACGCCTATGTACAACAGAAGTAAATAAGTGGGCAGAGCATTGTAGTTTTTTAAACATCCTAAGTTTTAATCATTATTTAATCATTTTACTTCATGTACAGGCTCCAAAAAACTTTCCTCTTTTCAGAATATGACAATGAAATATTAAGCAGACTGAACTGAGGCATTTTCTGTTTGCTTCAAATGGGAAAAGTTGGAGCAATTAAATGTAGTAGGCACTTTCAGAATATAATTTTGTACTTTAGATTAATGCACTAATTTGATTCACACACACACACCCTTTTCCCCCAGTTTTAGAGGGAAAGAATGTTGAATAAGTATTTTGAGATATTGTAAGAAATATGCATCAATATGCAGAAAATGGATAATTATTTAAATAAACGTGCATTTCAAAGACAGGGAAAGAGAATCTTAATATATATGAAGACTGGATTTGCTGTGTTTATAATGTACTCTTTAATCAAGAAGACAATTATAGGAATAATTTATGTTTATGTAAATTTTTGAGACACATGCTGAGTTCATTAAACAGTTTATTGGATTCTTGTCACCAAAATACTTTTTATAGTAGAAGAGATATGATTTTCTTCCCATGTTTAACATTTTTATGAGTGAGTAACAGTAAAACTGATACAAGAAATTGTCTAAAAACAGTGCCTTAAAGCACAGTCCCCAACCATTTTGGCACCAGGGACTAGTTTTGTGGAAGACAATTTTTACATGGACCGCGGTGGTGGTAGTTTCAGTTTTGCTTGATGACCTGACACTCACCTCCAGCTGTGTGGCCTAGGGGTTGGAGACCACTGTCTTAAAGGTTTTCATAAAATGACTGCCATTTCTGTTAAGTATTACTTCAAGTCTGAGGATTACATGTATTTCTTCTGTGATTTGCTGAAATTTTCATCTCAACTGGGAATATTTTCAGTTCTAGCTCTCAGTAATGTCTATCTCCCGTCCTGCTTTTCAGATAACTCAAACTGCCTCTATAAGAGAACTGAGAGAAAACCTGGATCTCAGGACATGGGGGGTATTGTCATTGTGGAATCCTATTATGATAAAGAAAGTTTGCTACATTTGGCAGGTGTGCAGTTCCATCATGTAGGACAAGCATTCCAAAGGCATTTCGGTGCACTGACCCTGGTTGGAAATGCTCAAATGACTAGTAAGACATTTTAATTTTTAGAGGTGATGGTGGTTGTTACATTAATTGTTTTCTTAACAGTTTTTAAAATTTATTTTGTATGTGGGTGCAATCAAAACACCACTGATGAAAGCAAACAAGGACGCTACTTCTAGAAAGGCTCCTGATATATAAATTTTACTGGCCAATTCAGATATTTATTTCAATTCTATACAATTCTAATGGAGGTGACATTGCTTTTTTCCCTCAAATTCTAGCAGCTAATAATTATTTTCCTCTGTGTTTAGCACCAGAATGCTGATGTCATCAAATTCTCAATATCTTTTAAAGGTTCAGTTTTAGGTGAGGGGAGACCACTTAATCAACTGTATCTAGGCTTAGTAGTAAGCTGGATATAAAGAGCCTATTAAAATTTCATCCAGGTACAATCAAGCTGTTGTTAGTTAGTGATTTAGCTAAAAAAGGAACCCAAGATTTAGCAAGAATTGGATTAGATTGTATTACCTATAGTCCACCAGGACAATCTAGTGCACCAGATGATTTCCCAAGTTAGATCAAAATATAAATACCACAACCAACTCAGTCAATATGCCACTTGTAGTACATCTAGGGAAAATATATTTTTGACTGCAATTATATATAATGCAGTGATATCTATAGGTTATTGCAGTGCTGTTAAATGGGAGTCCTATAAAATCAGTTTAGAAATTCAGTTTATTCAGAACAAATAAATATTTTTACCCTGATATTGTCCTTTCCTCTAAGGAGTCTGAGGCAGTACATATGGATGTAATGTCTTGGTTTATATTTGCAAGAACTTAGAAAATCACTTGGTGAGTTTCAGGGTTATATACAGTAAGGGTTATCAAATTATCCTATTGAAACTATCTATCATACCATTAAAAGAGTTTCTTTGGTTATCAGTTTATTCACAGCCACTGCTCACATTCTTAGACAATGGGCTACTTGCTCTAGATCAGTGGTTCTCAACCTGTGGGTCGGGACCCCATTTGGGGTCGAACGACCATTTCACAGGGGTCGCCAAACAAGGCTGTCCGCCATTTTTCCCCCCTTTTCTTTGGCCACGCCCCTGGCACCCGGTGATGTATAAGTGGTTGGGGGTCACCACAACATGGGGAACTGTATTATGGGGTTGCGGCATTAGAAAGGTTGAGAACCACTGCTCTAGATTCTACCCATCTGTTAAGACCTTCTGAAAGCTTCCTCCACTTCTGATAGGACTTTCTTAATAATGGCAATTTGTTTGTTAAACTCCATGTGCAAACTCACTCAGTGCTTCTACTAGTCTTTGGAAATTAAACTTTTCTCTCAGCTTTTCATCCATTTGATGCAATCCATTGAAATGATTCTGCTGCGATTGGAAACAACTATTGGTACATTCTAATTTTGATATTGCATCACTTTTCAGTTTTGCTGGTCTGTATTCAAGTCTTTTTCTTTTTCGCTTTTTTAGAATCTTACATGCAACATTGTGTTGTTTTGGATTCTTTTGCTCAGGGAATTAGCCTATCAGGGATATCAGATTTCAAGATTGAAAATAATACTTTTTACAACATTATGGGCCATGGAATTAAAATAGGTAAGTGAACTAAAAAGATTACAGCATTTGCAGAAATTTTCAGTCCCCAAAGATTATTTTAGAAACTCTTTGCTCAGGATTCCCCAACACCTTTGCTTTACAATACTGTTTCCAGAAATTTTATTTTCAAATGAAAAATAATCATTCATATGAAAACAGAAAATGTCATTTCAATCCATTAAAACAAATTAGAGAACTGAAGAGTAGAAGTCATTAGTAAAGCAGGTTTTCAAGCTTTCGTAAGGCTTCAGTGGATGTCTGGGTGTTTTCATGCAAACAGCTGTTTAAAGTATTTTTGTGAAGCACTCAGTAATGTTGAAATATGGAAGCATCACACATCAGCAGCCTGCTAACCAAAAAGGAGTACTGTTGTATCACAGATATGTTTTGGCACAATATATCACAGAGCAGAAGTCCCTCCATCAAATGAATAACTAAATGAAAAGGCACGTTTGACACAGCCTGAAATCTGAGCCCAATGTTGAATGGGACAACTCTTGGTGCTCTATTTTTCTTTTTTTTAAAATTCAGTTGAGCTTAGATGAAGCTATATTTGTGCTGTCTCCATGTCTTATACACATACAGACACAGAAAGGGATTCTAAGAATGGTAATGTTTGGGTACTTCATCCTGTACTATCTCAGGGAGAGGAGCAGTAATATTAAGGTACTTTTACATTGCAGCTTCTTCCATTTATCCTCCAGCCCCTTTGAAGTTGATTTTGATTATGTTCCTGCTAACCTCAAAATGCTGAGAAAATGCAGAGATCAAAACAAAGTAATCAGTGCTCCATCTCTATGATGGGAGAGTGCAAAATGGCATTCAGTCAACATCTATGCTACCATAGCTTCTATAGTAACTCCTTCTACCCACTCCATATAAAAAGAAAGACATTGCTACTCCCACTCACTTTTTCTGTTTGGATCAGATATAGGTTATTTTTCAGTTTTTCAGGACATGTAAGCAGTTCTGATTTAGGATGGCAGCCTATCAAGACAGGAAGCATGACTAGATGGACTAATTCTAATTTACTGTAAGGTTAGTTAATAGAATCTTGCAAGGCTGATAATATATTTCTCCCTTTACAGCCCAAGAAAACATTTATTTTGTGGGCCAAGCTGCCTCTTATCCAACCATTCCCCTAGCTATTGCTCTTCCCCCTAGTTCATGCCCAAGTTCATTCCCATATACCATTACATAGGGTGAGCTATAAAGCCATCAAGTTACCTTTCCTCCACTGTATTCAATAGCTCTGGAAAGGTGTGATAATGAAAAGACAGCATGTATTATTGATTTGCAACAGGCACTTCCTCAATACTGTAATTGTTGTTGTGGTAGAGAAAGGGGGAGATAAAAGCTAAACAATCCCTACAGAAATAGATTGCAGTAGTAACAGGACACTGAAATTGTATGAGCTGTGAGAGAAGCTATGAATCAAGAAGGTAAAGTTCTAATGGATGGAAAAACTATACAAATTGACAAGAATACCCAGCTTGGCTCTGGAAGCAAAAGGTCTTAGAACTAGCTAGTGATTTGTGACTATACAGATCTGGACCTGGTTCTGAAACAACATGAAGTCTTCATGGTGCAAATCCCCAGGATTCAGAGATTGGTAGAATTGTCTTCAAATCAAAGTCATGCTCTCAGTTATTCTGATTGTACTTTGTGAGAGCTATCCATATTTGATAAACTTCATCTCCTCATAATGCTTTAGCTTTTTTGTAGACTTCACCCCCTTTTTGTATAAGACAAAAAAAATCTTATGGAAACTTTAATAACTCATATTGATAAGGAATATAACACATTCTTAACCTTTTTAATGAAATCTGGCAGGCTTCATCTTATGATGGTGTAACCATCTGCCAAACTTCATCTCACTGTGGTAAAAAAACCCAAAAAGTTTATACATGCTGTTTAGCATTATGTTTTCCCATGTTAGATAGATGTTGGGATTTTTTTCTAGTTACTCTAATCCCAGCCAAAGCAAATTCTGGCAACAACATTCTCCTTTGTTATTGCCATGTGGTTGCCTTTATCTTATACTCAGTTCATGAAGAAAATAAATTTAAGTTGTCCTTAGCCACCTTTGCCCAAAAGTAATGTTTGTTGGCTTATTCTGACATTGTTCAATGATAACTTTAAAGACATGTTAGGCATTGTCACATTAAGCGGACCCTGCCATAGCATGGGAATAATGCTAGGAAAAAGAAGAAGGAGGCATTGCCACATTACCTTGAAGGTAAGATAGATGATCACAGTGACTTGAAAGAGAGGCAGTATAGGAAGGATTGGGATCAGCAATCCTTCCTATCTTTATTTTGTATTTTAACTTTGGGGGGGAAAAGTGCAACTTATTCCAAAGAAGTTTTGTGCAAGACTTACTTCCAAGTCTTTAACAGGATGAGTTCATAGGACTAAGGATTAAGTTCCACCCCTTTGTTTAGTTTTTTGCTGGTCTTGTCCCTCACATGTAAATAGAGGAAGCTATGACATTTTTATTAGATTTTGATTCTGCCTTTATTACTTTATAAGTAACTGAAGGCAGCAAACATAGCTAATATTCCTTCCTCCTCCTGCTTTACCCATAACACCAACCCTGTGGGGTGAGATGGGCTGAGAGTCAGGGACTGGTCTAAAGTCAACCAGCATATCTAAGGTGGGACTAGAACTATAGATTCCTGGTTTCTATGCCAGCATCTTAACCACTACATTAAATCAATATGTCATACATTCAGTAAATTCAATTTGTATGATATATCATACAGAACAATATACATTCTATATTTTTCACAATATTGATATAATTTTTAATATAGTATGATCAATTTTGTTTACCTTTTTAACAAATCAATTTCAATTTTTAAGTTTAAGTTTCCTTCCTTCCTCTCACTCTCAACTGCTCACAAAAACAGAGTAACATAAAAGAGCAACATATAAAAAATTAACCAAAACAACTGCAAAATAATCACAAGATGGCAATACTACAGTAAAGCAAACATAAACATATGGCAGCCATCAGCTTTTTGGACAAAGGGCTGATCCAGATGGCTGCATTAAATTTTTATCCACTAGTCTTTGAGCTAGAAGAAAAATATGTTGGTGTAATCCACAGTGCCCATGGCTAATCCCTATTCTGCAACAGAAACTGAACTGATAAAAGGTGCTGTTCTTGTTAACCTATTGAGAGCACATTAAAGAAAAAGATTAATAGAGATTCTGATTTTATTTACTCTCCCATTTCCCCTGCTGGTGGGAAATCAGCTATCAATCATTCTTCCATGCATCTATTCATTTATTTGGGTTTTTCTTACCTCCCAATTCTAAAGGTCTGGTGGTGTATGTCTGAAAAATAAACATAACACTAAAAGCACAAATTCCAAATTAGTGTCGTCACTGAAATCAACTCATGCTTAGGCATCCCTGAAACAAAATAATTTAATTTATTCATGAAATGCTGACAAATTAGAGGTTGCACCTGTTTCAGTGGAAGAGAGCACCACAAAGTAAAGGCAACCATAGAGAACATCCTGTATGAGAAGAGCAGCTTTGGAGAAGTATAGGCAAGAGCTTAGAATGGCAGGTTTAGCCAGATGCCTAGCTGTCCAACAAATAGTTTGCAAAGTGGGGCAATGCACGGGATGGAGAACCTCTGATGTGCCTCCTTGTTGTAATGAATACAAGCTAATCACCTGTCCAAAAGTAAACTGAGGTGAAATCAGCACCCAACCTCCTAACTTTCTCTAAGGGCCTAAAGACCTGGCTCTGCCAGTTGGCCTGGGGCTCCAACAGGGGTACATGACACTGCAGGTGGCTGACAGATTAAGACATGCCTTCACTTCCTCCATGCATATCCTGCTCCCTTCCTTCCCATTTTTTTAATTGTGAATTATTATTATGCATTTTTATTATTCAATGTTTCATAAGCATTTAATGTTTGTAAGCCTCTAGGCAAGATGGAAAGCAAATAAGTCTAATAACCAACCAACCAACCAACCAACCAACCAGCAAACAAACCCATCTCACAGGTCACAGGAGGTGATGATAATGAGTGAATTCCATCCTCAATTGTGCTTCAAGAGAAGAGCAGTGTAGCAAGTGACCAAGAAGTCCAATTCTGACCTGATAGCTGGTGGCTGTCCTACCAGAGGTAGCCAGTGGAGAGCCATGGAAAACATACTGTTGTGATTGGCTGATGTGCAGTAACAACATCATAACCATTGTATCCTCACCAAATACTGCCAAAACCATAATGAAGTAGCCAAAGGTGCTGTTCCTGCACTGAGGTTAAAAAACCAATAAAATGTATAGCTTGAAAAACTTGAAATGCTTCAGTGATGACAGAACTAGCAATGCAGAGCTGATTTTCCTAGTTTTAATCAACACTTTGTGCAGCAGAGGACTTACAGTACAAAAAGACCACTACACCTGCTTAAAATACAACAACAAACAGGTTTGTGTTTATCATGAAGACAGGTAGAATCTGAAAAGCATTTTCAAATGCATTGGTTAGGCATTATGTAAACTGATGCTTCTGCAGAAGCCAGTTGCCTGGTTTCTCCTGGAGTTCAGGTCACATATACCATGAAGAACAGTTTCCAGCAACCAGAGGAGAAGGAATGTCCCTGCAGGTCCCTAAATGGGCTATAAAGACCTGGGATAATAAACCACAACTAAACCAGCAATTGCATTCCATTTACTGAATATAATTTTCAATCACCAATACATCCAGTTTACTGGCTTTAGTTTTTACTCCTAATAAAAACCATATCCAGACAATTGAGAAATTCCTATTTTAAAACTGGAACAGCCAAAGATAACTCTAAGCTGTTTCAAGTATGAACTGGGGATAAGATGAAAGATATGGCAAAAAAAAAAAAGTTACCAGGGCATATTCATGCTGTGGTTAGGGTGACAAGAGGAAAAACCCCAAGTGAAAGTGAATTTGTGTAATCAAGCTTCTTGAGTAGGAACACTTTAACCTGGAGAATAGAGAAGCCAGCTAAGCCAGCAGCATCCAGCTAAAGAAAGACAGATTTGAGTTTAATTTACTATGTTCCCATTCCTATGGGATCTGTTGTTCTTCTGCTTTCAACAGTTATTAAAGATAAGCACTGCTGCTGGCTGCTTATAATGGCACTTTCATAAATATATAGAATATGATGATTCTGATACAATGGTAATGCCCCAGTAGATCAAAATCATCTAAAAAAGAATTTTGATCAGGACAAAAATGTTTGTACGCTATAACCAGAGCTAGGCCAGCGGCAATTAAGTAAAGAGCAGCACATACCAAGCAACAGAACAAAGGCTTATTAAAGGATGCCGAACAGGGTATTGATGTTTGTAAATGCACCACAAAGCTCATCATCAACAAAGCATGCACAATGTACTTTAACATAAGCTAAATCAATTAACCAGATCAACACCATGTTAGTAGTCTTTGCATTTATACAGTCTCAGCAGGTTTAGGAACACTTGTGTGTAAAGCACAATAGTACATGTGCAAGCATACACACCCCTCTTTGCTTTAATAGAATGCAGAATAAAGTGCTCCGTATATTGGTCCAAGTCATCAGTATGATCTCTAACTACAACTCACTCACCCACATTTACTTCCACTTCCCTGCAGCAAAGTTTTTTTTTAAAGCAGCAATTATTTATCAAGCAGATTGGCAGCCATGCAGCTGCTGTTGGGACTTGAGTTTATCTGCTGTTGTCCTCAGAACAGTCCATTCCTCCATCACTTCATTAAGCCTAAATCAGTAGCAGGTGGGGCCATGAATAATAGGGTGGGTGCAAAAAAAGGTTAATAGATAGATAGATAGATAGATAGATAGATAGATAGATAGGTAGGTAGGTAGGTAGGTAGGTAGGTAGGTAGGTAGGTAGATAGGCAGACAGACAGGCAGACAGGCAGACAAGCAGGCAAGCAGTCTGCAATAATTTATTAATTTGCAATTGTATTTTTAGGAGCATGGAATGGCAATAATAAAATAAGACATAATACAATTATTGGACTAATGGGCACCGATGGCCTTTCCAATACTGAAGTTCTGTCCCCAGCTGGAATATATATCCAGTCTCCTGATAATTTGATAGAGGTAAGATATAAAGACAATACTATGGTACATATGGGAAAGCAAAAAAAAACCCAAGTGATATTGTGATACATTTTCTTGAAGCTTCCTCACCCCAACAGTTAGATTTGTAGATTAAATTAATGCTCATTCTGCTATTTCTTGCATTTCTTTCTATTTCTATTTCTATTCTTCAGTTCAGAACTGAACTGAAGCAGCTTCTTGGATGAGAAGTGAAAGATTTTCAAGAAAAAGAAACTAAGAAAGTCCAGTTGCCTTTGGAAAAGCACCTTTTGGTTTCTCCACAAACTTGATGAAATAGTGTGCAAGTGGGATCTGCATATCTTTCAGTTTTCAAGAAATCACCCATTGGAAAAGAAAGCAGGAAACAAATAGAAACAAAGCAAGTAGAAACAAAGCAAGTAGAAGAAATGAATGCTTAGTTTTCAACATTGCATTAAACAAATATGTATAGTGCCAATATTATGAATAAAATGTAACTTGGTTGTACTCCAATTTTATCAGAAATTCATGTGGAAAGACATTTGTGGGGAAATTTAGCTACAACAAAATCCATAAAATAAAGTTTCACATAAAATTTCCTACTTGCCTAAAAGCACTGTTGTCAAGCTACTCCTCCTCTACATAAATATACAGGCTTTCCTCCCCTCCCTGGGTTAAAAATAATTTCTGGACTGAGTCACTGGTATTCTAGGTAAATATCTAGTGACATAATATGAGTTGACAATGGAAGCTCTACATTAACTGTGCTAAGGGCAATATGATATACAAAGCTATATTTCTGTAACAAGGTGCCTTGACTTGTGCTTTAGGCATTATTCTTATCTCTTTGTTTTGCCACCCAAAGAAAAATGTCATGCACCATGACAGTGAGAAAACTGGATAGGTTGCAAACCTGGAAATAGGATCAGGGGCCTTTCTTTCTTAGGCTACTGATTCTACTGATTCTCTTTGATCTAGGTCACAACTAGTATTCTCAAAGCTATTCATCCAGTAACCTCTGGCAAGTAAGTTGGTGGTTGTGCTTGCAAACCCTTTGGGAAAATAACCACTTGGCAAGTATTTAAAATGACATCAATGAGCACCTTTTGGCCACAGCACATCTGGATCAGATTTCCATTGTTATTTTTTTATTAGTGCTGAATATCTAGGCAATATTCCCATTTAATTGCCTTCTCTCTTAGAGTTCCCTAATTTTGAATCTTGGTTTGGTAATGAAACAGTTTTATTTCAGATAGATACACTAGGGAAAAAAGAATGCTACTGTTATTTATATGCTGTAGGCTGATAGATGCTCAATTATGGAATTGTTTTGATGTATTTTAATTAATTAATTAATATAGTATTTTGATTTTTCTTATTGCTTTTCTTGTGGTATATATTCAGATATATCTAGGGCAGAATCCATTTGGTTTGTATTTTAAGATGAACTGACCTTAATTCTCATTCCTGATCTATAATGTGAATCAGAACTCAATTGTTCTTCCCACTCCAAAAAAAACATACAAAAGTGTGTATAGTAAGAAAAACAGCAGTACTGATTAACAGATGAGGGAAATTCTATGTTCAAGTTCCCATCTGACCATAATGCTGAGCTGGGGTCAGCATTATATATCACAGGGTAGTTCTGATGCTAAAAAGTGAGGGAAGAAAGCTACTTTGAGCCCCTGAAGAAAATAGAAGAAACTTCAGTAGAGGAAGTCCATATTATGAAAAACTATGCAAAGTGTTGCAGAAACAGAATGGAACAAAAGTTTTTTGAAAATGATCTAAATCGTGATTAAAAAAAAGACTGAATCTGAAATCCAGGATTTCATATCAATGTTTGCAATAGTTGGGGAGAAGGCACGTTTGTATGTGTCCTGTCAACTTTTAGAGAGATCTATTATCTTTACCTCAATGGATTGCAAAAATAATTTGATAGAGATATCAAAGTGCTGCTAGTGATAATAAATTCTCCTGACTTATAGGCACACATCTTTTTGGTGTTTTTGGTGTTTTACGATCTTTGTTGAGTTGGTTCAGATGTCCTAATAACTCCTATTTTCCTCTGCAGAGTAACATGGTGTGTGGCACTGGACATGGTTACTTTTTTCACCTTCCACCTTCAAGGTTAAGAGAACCAGTGAAGTCTTTCAGTAATAATGTAGCACATTCCTGCTCTAGGTATTTTTTCCCCTTTCTGTCTATTTTATTTTGTCATCTCACACATGCCGTCAGATATACAACATGCACATATACAGCAAATCTGCAGTAATTAATTGGGGTAAATGTGTTTAATGCTTTCTCTGATGCTAAATAGGGTTTTCCTCCAGCAGGATGAAAACATATTGATATGCTATGGTTCATTTCTTATAGACTATGTAAACAATTCATTTCATTTTTAGTTACATATAGTCTTCCCTATTCTAAACCATGCTGTCATATTTTCATCTCATGTTTCACTTATTGGAGAGATGTGGCATCAATATATATTTCTCATGTTGCTGCATTCTGATCCTTTTTTTTGGACAAAATATTATATTTGCAATGTAATGATTGGCACAGAGTCCCTGCCATCCTTCATGAAATTGTCTCAGTTCATTAACAAACGTCATGCATAATTGCCATGAATTATTATTTATTTTTCTCCTAATCTATATTAATTTGATTATCCACGTATCAGCTTGGTGCTATGGTTAAGAGCTCAGGCTAGAAACCAAGAAGCTTTGAGTCCTAGTCCCACCTTAGGCTTGAAGTCAGCCAGGTGACCTTGGGCCAGTCACTTTCTCTCAGTGGCAATGGTAAACCACTTCTGAAAATCCTTGCCAAGAAAACTTCAGTGATTCATCCAGGCAGTTGCAGTTGTCAGGAGTCCAAAACTCACTTGAAGGTACACCCCACCCACCCACCCACCCACACACCCACACACACTTAGCATATTTTTGCAGAAATTCTCACCATGAACAAGTTGAAAACAGAAGCTATAATAATCTCAACCCAAGAACTATATGACAGAATCATTGTAATTTTGGCAAGGACTGGGTAGAGCAGGATTTTAAGTTTCTTGCTTGTCTCTTTTCTTGAAGTACGTTGATCAAGTTGCTTACTCTAGAAATGCTGAATCATTTTTTTTCTGCCCTAATAGATTGGATACTATATATCAGGCATGTCAAACTCACGACATCACATGATGTCACACAACGTATTGTGACTTTTCCCCATTGCCAGCAATGGGGTGGGTGCGGTTTCGGCGTGATGCTTCCGGCCCATGGACTGGCAGTTTGACATGCCTGATATATATGATCAAATGCTGCTGATTAACTATCTACCCTGAAAGTACTTTCAATAAAGAAAGTCAGAGTCACCTGACTGTGCCTTTTCTGTTTATTGTTTATTCAATTTCATCAATTGCCACCTGTGAATACACACCATGGACTTCATTTGTTGTGCTAGAATTGCTAAATTACTCAATGAGTGCTAGTGTAGTTTAGTGTTTAAGATATCGATCTGGGAGCATCTAGATTCTAGTCCATCATGGAAGCTCTCTCAAGCCACCTTAACTTACAGGGTTGTTGTGGTGAAAAATAGGAAGAACAAGAAGTATGTCTAATATCTTGAGTTCTGTTACAAATGATGGGCTAGAAATCAAATAAACCAGATAAATTATGCATATAATTAAAACAAGTACATCATCTGATAGAAATTGCCTATATTATTTTTGTTGTTTATGATATCATCACTTATTTTATTATAAATAGATATGGACTCCTAATCCATCCAGCATATCATCCTCAAAAGAGAAACAATACAGAACCTGTTATATTCCAAAACTTTAGTGCCTGGCAGTGCAAAGGTGGAGTCCAGGTACCATACATTCTTTCTTCCTTGCCCTTCCCATGCATAATTCTTAAATGATCCCATTTTTTTATTAAAGTATAATTAATTCTGTTGGCTACAATAATAATTAATAATATTTTGTTAGATAATGCCCCTATTTGAAAGGAAATTCCCCTGGAATCACTTACATCAGGGGTCCCCAATTCCCGGTCCGTGGACTAGTACCAGGCCATGACATGCCAGCAACTGGGCTGCACAAATAAGCAAAGCCCCATCCGCCATCTGCAGAAAAACCTCTTTCCATGGAACCAGACCCTGGTGCCCAAAAGGTTGTGGACTTCTGATTTACATGACTGTTACTGTTGTATTAGTCTTGAGTGAAGTAATTGAAAATTCAATCTTCCTGTTTAGAAGGCAGCTTAGAAACAACAGAAAAAGATAATAGGAAAGCTAGAAAGAAGGGGAAAGTGGTAAAATTGTATATTAGCGACATCATATAGCTGTATTTGAAATAATGCTGGAAGTTATTTTTATGATATTAAATGTGTGCAAATAATTCCTTTTTGTGTTCATTTTCTATATCCCGGAGTGTATTATGCTTAGAAGTGAAGACATAATACTGAAACATAGAAAACATAATACTGATAGTGAATGTCTTTGCAGCAAAACTTGTGGAATATCAGTCTTTAGTTTTTTGTCATCTGTTAACATGCAAAACTAAGTCAATAAAATTGGCATTATTTTAGATGATTTCTTAAAAAGTCAATTTATCTCATGAAGCAGGACCACAGATTTGCCTTTTTTGATTTACTATTTTCTTTTAAACTGATGAGAGACTTTGTAATTAGCATTATACCATATTAAAACAATGCTAATACATTTTTTAAATATTATTCTATCAGATTATTAGTACCAGCAACCTTCAGCTTTGGAACTTCCACATCTCTTCTTGCAAAGATTTTGGTATCAACATTGTGGAAAGTCTTGGAAACACTTCTGTTGTCAACAGTCTACTAATTGGCCACTTCCATGAAAAGGTATGAGGTTACAATTTTTTCAAAGAATCAGTGTTAAAGAGCCAAGAACACAGAATTAAAACCACAGCTTTTCTGGATACTAATTCAGGAAGTGAATTTCCTTTCATAAACCAACCTCACAGAGTTATGATTTGAGAAAGTCTTAGTAGCCAAATTCTTTGAAATCCAAATCATTCTTGAGAAGGATCTATGACAGGGGTGTCAAACTGCTGGTCCACAGGCCAGACGCATCATCGGAAACCATGCCCACCCCATTGCCGGCAATGGTGAAAAAGCTCCGATATGTTGTGTGACATCATGTGATGTTGCAAATTTGACATGTCTGATCTATGTGTGTGTGTGAAGGTTTGTTCTCCAAGCTTGTGTGTTGGTTTCTGAACATTTCATTACCAGGCTAGGTCAGCGGTGTTTAGTGGAGGTCAGTGTCAATGTTCTTCTGTTTTTTAAGGCCTTCACATATGGGTGTGTCAAGTGAGAGTCTGTGATGGATCAGGTGTGAAAATAAGTGCTTTGTTTTGCAATCTCTCTTTTATCTGGAGAGATTTCAGTGTCCCGTATTGGCCCTCTGGGCTCTATCTTTGAGTGGCTGTTTCCACTCCTTCAAGGACATCCAGTTCATTATAGCCTCACTAGAAGCTCTACTTTAAAGGAAATTTAAAAAACAAACAAACAAATATTTCCTCAAAATAATGAAAAAGCAGGACATTTTTTTTGCATTTTTGCCTCCTTCATTTGTCACCCCATCTTTCATTTTTATTGACCTATGCTGCCTTGGCAATGATATGGCAAAAAGCCCAGGATATGGAAATCTAGAGGCAAGCATATTTCTCTTGGAATTGTAAGATTCCACATGCCAAGATTTCTTCAAACTAATTTTGTATATACTCCAAGAATTTCACCATGCCAAAGTATCTTACCTCAAGGCAAGGGAGATAAGATTATTTGTGAGTAGGTGAAGGTTGGAACTTAAAATGAGTTTAATGGATGTAAAAATTGAATCTTGAAATAGATGTTAGTGTTAAGAATAAGAGAGACTAAATTTTGATTGCTGTAAGTATGAAGAACAAAGAGAGAATCAGATATAAGATAAGATAACCTTTATTGTCATTTTTTTTCCTATGGGCACACATTAAAAATGAAATTCTGTTACTTGCTCTCAAAAGTGTACACATACACAACACACATATAAACATGGTATATACAACATATGTATATACCTACACCCTTACATATAAATACTAATCACTGTCCATCTTGAAAGAGGAATAGGAGATAGGTAGAAGATTAGAATGCAGATAACTTTTATAGCACTGAAAAAATATTTTCTTTGGTTTTGCTGTCTTGGGATACTGAGCTCTTGAGTGCTCCCATATTACTTGTTAAAAGATTTTGAGGCGTTCAGCTGTGCCTTGTTTCTTACAGCACCCCAGGGGGCTGATTATCTTTGATTATCTCATGATAAAGAATCTTCTTGTCATAATTTACATATTAATTTATGTAATTCTACCCTTTAATAATGATGTCTCTTTAACATCAATTAAAACTTTATGACATTAATTTAACAAGAAAGCTAAACCTTCCATCCAGCCAACACTTTTATGTTTAAAATATGCTTTTAGCCAATTATTATTTATTTTTTTTAAAATCCTACTTTCTGCATTGGTTCAGCACCCCTTGCAAATTAACAGGAAAAATAGGTGAAATTTAAATGTGAGTCATGTGTGTACTTCTGCTAAATAGCTTTTAGTAATTTAAAAGTAATTGTAATTTCTAGAGATCTATTTTTTTTTTAAAAAAATATAACTTTTGATTTTTGCACATCTTTTATTTTCTGACCATCACAAAAATAAGCAGAACATGGAGAGTTTTAAAAACACAAAACATATATCATGGATAAAAAGAGCCAGAGAACAGGCTCTTGATCGGGAGGTGCTTTACACAGTTGCTAACACTCTGATCACCACAGCTTGACTACTGCAATGTGATATACATGGGGCTGTCCTTGAAGAACACCTAGAACAGACATGTCAAACACAAGGCCCGGGGGCCAGATGCGGCCCGTGAAGTGGTTTCATGTGGCCTGCGAAGCCATCCTGGAAACAGTGAGCGAACAGCCCCTGCTGCCTTGGCCCTTGCCCAGGCCGCCGGGATCCAATGTACAATTTTGTGGTGGCCATCTGTGCTGAAATGCATTCAGTCTTAGCTCCACAAGGCCATCTGGAAACAGCGAGAAACCAGCCCCTGCCGCGTCGTCCCCACCCCCTGGGTGCATGCTGGGGAGGTGTCACCATTTATGAGGAATGAAGAAATGCACCATTGCCTGGAAGTGGCCAGCAAATGGCCCTCACCTACTTCACATATCCAGCTTGATGGCTCTGCCCTGGTCCCATCCCTTTCTGCCAGAGACCCTCAGATCTGTCCCACTCCTGCCCAGGCCCCCACAGGTACCCTTGACACGAATGATGTAAATCTGGCCACGCCCACCCAGTAGGCCACACCTACTCCATCCATGCCCAGTAGGCCACACCCACCCTGGCCACACACTCCCGCCCCCTCCCACCCTGAGGGCAACCACAATGCTGATGCGGCCCTCAATGAAATTGAATTTGACACCCCTGGCGTAGAAGCTTCAACTGGTCAAGAATATAGCAGAATGAGTAGTGATGGGCATGCTTTGGTATGTCCATAGAACACTTTTACTCCAAGAGCTGTTCTGGTTGTCAGTTTGCTTCTGGGTGTGATTCAAGTATTGGTTGTTACCTATAAAACCCTTCATGTTATAGGACCCGGATACTTGGGCAACTGCTTATTTCTCACAGTATCTATTCATTTTGTCTGACAGGATTGTCGCACTCTGGTTTCCTTCAATTAAACAGTGCCATCTATCAGAACCCTACTTTCTTTGTAGTAATGTCTGTCCTCTGAAGTGAGATTCTCCCTGAAATCAGGATGTCCCTCACTTTATTGTTATTTAGAAGAGCTATAAAGTCTTGACTCTTCTCCCAGGCCTTTAGCAAAGGTGAATGGAAAGCTGCATCAATTTTTTTCTAATCTTGTCCATTTTCTGTCACCTTGCTTTTACTTCTTGTTTTTTTTTCTGATTGTAACTCTATTGGTGAGCCACACAGAACTGTTGGGAGTTGATTGGGTATAGATTTAATAATAAATAAATAACCCAAACAAAAAATAAAAATAAAAAATGCTTAGCAGGGAAGAATGAATAGGGCCATGTGATATGAGTTTGTGGTGAACCCAAAGAAATGATGGTGAATTTGAGGGAAGTAAGAGAATGGGAATGTAACAGACACAGTGGATGGACAAGAATAACTGAGATTATGAGCAGCACATACATTTGATAAATGAATATAAATTTGATAAATGAATGAATGAATGAATAACTAATGAGATTATTAGAACATCCTTAGGAGATCTCCAAGTTATTATTAAATTTAGATTACAATGACAAGTATTTATTCATGCAGTCTCCAGAGCAAATTTGGGCTTGGTGGTACTGGATTAATGAAATCTTCATCCTTCTACCCATGTCTCAATTTCTGTATTAAAAGGCAAGATCTAAAAGTATATATACTCAGCTTGATGAATTAAGATAGTTGTCTTAAACTAGTTTAAGCATAAACAGCATAAACAGAATTACCATATGAATTCATACTAATGCACCTTTTAATTTTACACAACTGTTCTTTTCAAACATAATGCCAATTTCTACATTCTTGTACCAGGATGAAAGCTGTATGTTGACAGGGCTGAAAACTCCTCAAAAGCACGAACTGTTGATTTCACGTACAACCTTTATGAACTTTGACAGTCACAACTGCATTGCAATTACTACCTGTTCTGGCTGTTACCAAGGTCAGGGTAAGTTAGATTTTCAGTACTGAATATGATTGTGATGAAAAGAACTAAGTGTGAAGAGCAGTGTGAAGGATTTTCTACAAATATTTAAGCTCAAATCAGTTCATAGAAAATAAGCAATCAATTTACATATATATACATCCAATGCACCTTTTTCAAACAGGATAGCTACATTTGCTAGAATATGGTGATAGAAGCCACTATGGAGTTGGTGTCATTTGAAGACAAAGCATGCAGATTCCGTTTCCTCCTGTTACCTTTCATATATCCTTTATCAATGAATGCTCGTCATATGAATGAAGCCTGGAGTTCTATCATGTGGAGAGCCATAGTGGATAGAGGAAGCCCACACTGCATAAATTGACCTTCTATACTCAGAGAGCAACATGATGAAGTTGAGCTAATAGATTGACTAAATAAAAATAGAAATTCTAAGTGTAGTACTCTGAGATAAGAGCTTTTAAACCCCAAAAGTCTTATTGCACAATAAACATATGTAGGTTTTGCTTTGCTTTAAAGCCAAGCACACACATCTCTACCAACTTGATTCATTTTAATAATAATAAAAAAGGATACAGGCTTATTCTGCATTTTCCAAAGAATAGCAATAGCATAGCAATAACATTTAGGTTTATATACCACCTCGTAGCACTTTACACCACTCTGGTTTACAATGTCAAATCATTATTTCCATATTGCCCCCAACAATCTGGGTCATTGTTTCACCAACCTTGGAAGGATGGGAGGCTGAGTTAACCTTGAAACCTATCAGGACTGAACTCCAGACTGTGGGAAGAGTTTGCCTTAATACTACATTTTTAACCACAGCACCACTGGAATCTCAAATGACAACCCCAACAATAATAACAACAAAAGCTCTTTATTGTTCATCCATAAGAACATATTGGTATAGGGTCTCCTGCCTGAGAAGGGGGGGTTGGACTAGAAGGCCTCCAAAGTCCCTTCCAACTCTGTTATTCTGGTATTCTGTTAAAAAAAACAGAAAATCAACTCATATATCCTTATCACCTTTGCAATTTACCCCAATCATATCTACATACACAGTTCTCATTTCCACTGTTTTAGGCTAAAAGGACTCCATTTTATTTTCAATACCTGTGCTCTGACTGCATATAAAATATATTGTTCTAAGATGTAAGTCCCAGAGTCATTTGTCATATATGTATATACACACACACAATACATATATAAACATGTATACATGCATACATTTTCAGACAAACATACATAAAATAAAAATGAACAATCACCAAAGAGAAAGAAAAAAATTACACATAGAATAACACATAAAGAAAGAAAATAACAACAAATTTATAATTTCAACTTGATCAATCTGATTTTGTAGGTCTTTATTTTTTTTTAATTTTTATTTTTTAAACCAACAAAACAAGACAAAACAAAACATAACACACATACACACACAGTGTGTGCTCCTCCTTTTTTTAACAGCAATTTCATAACGGTAATCTATTATTTACATTTCCCCCCCTTATTCTTCTTTAGATATATTTGTCCTTGTCCCGTTGTTTCTTGTTTGCATTTTTCTTCCTTCATACTATACTTCATACTAAAAATAATACATATTATTATTACTATACATTATTATACACAACATTTTCCACTTTTGACCTTTCCACATTTATTCTCTTCTATTATTTTTAGTCTCCAACCTTTAAAGAGGAAAACTAAATTCACCCAGATTGTCAAAAAACTTTTTTAAAAGGCAGAGATAGTATGACATTTTCTGATTAACAGAATATACAATGTTCTCAAAAATGGCTAAATTGCACATCTCTGAAATCCAATCCATTATATCTGGAATTATAATATTTTGCCATCACCTGTTGGCTCCCTCCTTTGTGCTCGAAGGCAACTGAATATAATTGCAGTATGGTTTAGGAACCCATCATTTTCCATTAAAAAGCTCTCTCTCCTTAGTTGGCTTCCATTCTGCTAAACAAAGCTTGGGAGGGATGCTTTGCTTCAACAAGGTTCTGAGCGAAGCACCTCTTTGAAGAGGTTTTGTGAAGCAATGCAATCCTTCACTTCTAAGGAAAAAAATGCCGCTTTCGTGTTGATTTTGAGACACGCTCAGAAGAGTCTCCTGGCCAGGGGAAGGACCAGAAGCACAAAGGGTCCAGGGGGGTGAATGGTGCTAGGAACAGAAAGCTCTTTGTCAAGTACTCTTCAGTTGCCTCATACAAGCCTAATTTTCACTGTTCATGCTCATGTAATTCTTACTCTTTCCAAGAGAATTTCATTTAAATAATAATAAAAATAACTTAGAACTGGGGTGGGAAAAAAGACTTCTTTTGCACTAGCAGAACATATACTGTTTTTAAAAGCTATACGGAGCAGGAAATTAGTGACCCTAGATTAAAATAAAATACCTGCTTATAAGTCTGCCATTGGGACCTGAAGAAACATTACTGTCTCTTCTCCAATCTTAGTAGTTTCCCTCTTGCTTAACAACATTTTGGCTAAAATATGCATTCTAAAAACTGTCTGTTCACTTACTTTAGTTAATGCAAATGTGTAAAAACAGTCAATAGTGCAAAAGACTGTGGAAATTCATTACTAATGGTAGATTTGTTTGATGGTTCTATAGGATTCTATTTGGTTTGTTTACTTTAAAGAAGCACAATTCGTTATTCCCATTTGAATTTTAGCTTTTTGCATTTCATATGCATTAAAATCAAACAGCATAATCATAAGAAATATCCACAATGGTGAGTCTCTACTTTACCCCTGGGCACAGAAACTGACTCGGTGATTTGAGGCCAGTCACACTCTCTGAGACATAGCAAGAAGAGAATATTGCCAATAAAACTACTGTTGACTTGATCAGCAACAACATTATTCTAAATTTTTGAATTCTCAGTTTTCATTGGATGGGAGTTTATATCTTCCCTTAATTGTTCTATAACAGTGGTTCTCAACCTGTGGGTCGGGACCCCATTTGGGGTCGAACGACCATTTCACGGGGATCGCCAAACAACGCAGTCCACCATTCCCCCCCCTTTTCCTTAGCTGTGCTACTCCCTTTTATTCTATTGGCTTTTGAAAGCCAATAGAATAGACTCTCTTGAATAGAGTCTAATTCTATTGGCTTTCAAAAGCCAATAGGAATTGTCCAGGCTGTCTCTGCACTGCTGAGCCCACCAAAAGTCCCATTCTGCAAATGGTGCTGCACCAGTTGAGTAGTCCTCGACTTATGACCGGTTGAGTAGTCCTCGACTTAACAACCGGTTGGGGGATGCGGCATTAAAAAGGTTGAGAACCACTGTTCTATAATATAATATGTTCTTTTTCAGGAGGTTTTCCTGTCAGAACAGATCAAGTGTTCTTCCTCAATGCCCCAAACTGGCTATCATTTCCATTCCCTCACTGCGCCATCCTGAAAGATCTAGATGGGTCTCTGACAGGACAATCAGGAAGTCAGATCCTTCCTTCTCTGGATATACTTCCAGATTCCTGTAGGACAATAGTCAATGCCAGTCAAGCTGTCAATGCCAGTTGTTGTTTTGCAAATGTTACTTTTCATCGTATGTCTCTTAGCCTGTAAGTATTTGCTTTCTTTTCTCACTTGTAATTGTACAAGATTTAGGAAATCACACTTTAGCAAGATAATAGGTTGCAAAAATAAGTTTCTGGTATGATGTTGACTTAGGCAGTCCTGAGAAAACAATGTGTTAAAAACATCCAATACTATAAAAGTCATTTATTGTGGTGAATAAAATAAATGAATGGGACAGGCACATCTACCAATTGCATACCATGTAATTGCAGGAAAAATATATTCTTTTAAATAAAAAATACATTGTGTTAAGGATATAAATCTACTGATGTTAGCTGCTTTAAAGCAGAGGTGAAGGTTCTAAGTCATGCCCTAAAAACAGAAAATTCTAGTAGATAGACTCTCAGAAGTGAAGCCCACACCTTTTACATACATTTTAAAAATTGGCTAAATACATAGACATCCTTGAACAAACTATTGGATTGGATTTTTATTTTTGGGGATAACATGCAGTCATGCTTTCAGTATTTGCACAAAACCTCAGAACAAGTATGCCCTGACCACATTTCTTTTCTGCTTTGCCTCCATCACCTTATGTTCAACTCTTCATCCCCAGTGTGTACATGAGATAAGCTTATGTTCTTCTTAATGGACAAGTGTTAAACTGCACCTTCTCCTCTTATTCTATCATAGTCCATGCATAGCCTCAATGTGTGAAAATCTGTTAGGTTTTGTCAGCCATTACACTGAGGGGAATTCAGGTGTCTGTAGTTTTGGGGAACAGAGATAAAAGAGACAAAGCAGAGATTGGCAATTGGACTATTGTTTCATGCCAGTATCAACTCAAGGATGAGAGAATAGTACCTCAAATCATCAATGGGGAAAGGCCTTAAGCAAAATGCAACTTGGACACTCATGGATCTCTACTATACTATTACATTTCTATTTCTGAAAGAATACATTGCAATATTGATGCATGTACTATCGGCCTCATTCTAAGCCAATTTTATTGTTGCTTTATTTTCTTGAGTTATATCATTGTAGATGATTATTTCACGAAGGTAACAAACAGAAAGCATTTAGAGCTAAATGCAGTGTTTGCCATAATACAAAGGGGGGGAAGGGAGGGGGGAACCCCCTTAGGATAAGTAAGCTAATGGTAAACATAAACAGGAGACTTAATATTTATTCTACTCATAGTTGTTGATTGGTTTAGCAAACCCTTTGTGAGCCATTTATGTTCAACAGTTCTGCACACTACACTTGAGCTAAATTACATAACAGCTTAAAGAACCATGATGGTAAATTGTAAGGCAGACTGTAAAGTTCTATCTACTAGTCATGCCAGATTTCTGTAGCAAATTGCTTCTTAATTGAAACTTCCCTGGATATAAAAATACAGCACTGCCAATCAGTCATCCAGGTTTTTCTCTTCTTTGTAACCCTCTTGAAAGGCTCCTGGCAGTTTGAGCCAAGGGTTAATTTCACATTTCCACTGTGGTTGCCTCCTCCTGGTTTACTTCTTCAGAAAGACAAGAACAGATCTCAGAGAGCTGCCTCCTCCTTTGGTAATGAAACACTTTCTCGTTAATGATCCATGCAGGCTCCCTCAGCTCCTCCGAATTAAAAATACTCATGCCCTCCTCTGCTCCATTAACATTAAAGAGAGGTAGATTGGTGGCTATTTAGGGCACAGTGAAAATCACTGGCTATTTAGAGCAAATTAAAATGGTGCTAATTATGGTGGTAGGAATGCTCAATTATGTTAGCAATATAGTAGTTCTATTTGGAGGCTAGCTTGACAGTATGAAGTGAAAACATTGTTTGGAAAGACAATGTAATAGTCAGCTCATGTTCAGCCTGGGCATTTTGGGGAACCAAAACTATCTGTTGCCTTTCAAGGGTCTTATTCTACCTACCCATGTTAGCCTCTATTCTTTTGGAATAACAGGGATGGAAGTGAAATTATTTTATTCTGATTTCAGTGCATTTATCCACTTTGGACCTCTCAGAATTAAATATGTTGTTTATAAAAATTTGGTAAGCAACTTAAAATATATATGGGCATGTTATTATTATGTTATTATTTGCTGCAAATGCATTCAGCAAGAGGAGTCCTATAATATATATATATATATATATATATATATATATATATATATATATATATATATATATATATATATATATATATATAGGTCTTTGGTTGTTCGGGTTTTCTCCCACGTAAAATTGGAAGTGTCTTGGCGACGTTTCGACGAAGTCCCATTCGTCATCTTCAGGCTGGTGCTTTCAGCTTCGTGCTGCTCAAAGCACGAAGCTGAAAGCACCAGCCTGAAGATGACGAATGGGACTTCATCAAAACGTCGCCAAGACACTTCCAATTTTACGTGGGAGAAAACCCGAACAACCAAAGACCTACATATATATATATATATATATATATATATATATATATATATATATATATATATGTTTGTGTGTGTGTGTGTGTGTGTGTATTTTCTGAGGTTTTCGCGGGTGTTTGTATGTAGGTCTTTGATTATTCGGGTTTTCTCCCACGTAAAATTGGAAGTGTCTTGGCGACGTTTCGATGAAGTCTCATTCGTCATCTTCAGGCTGGTGCTTTCGGCTTCGTGCTTCTAGGAGCAATATATATATATATATATTAGAAATAACATCCATACAAAAATATATTTTGTGGTTTCTTCTTATGCAGAAAGATGCAAAACATTGGAGGGAAACTGAGAAAAGGAGTAAAACTGGGAATGATGGATATATCTTTATGTCCAACAGCAAGGAGCTTGTAGTTCCCAAAATAAAAAAGTTGAATACCAAGGAATTTGCCTGGTTTTCTTGATTAAGGATTCACTTAAGCAAATCCAAGTTGTCTACTTGAAAATTTTTTTATGGGATTTAGATTTGGGGAATTGGGATATGTTGCCATTCTATGCTATCTGAGCTTGCTGATCTATGCCTAAATACTGTGTTTGGAAGAGCAACAGTGGGCTAACACGCTGCATCAACATAGTATCAAAGTGAATATTATTTAGAAAACCTTTGGTTTTTTTTTCAGAAAGTTTCCAATCTTTTCATCTAATTTAACAGTAACTAATAGTCACAATAAGGTGATCACTGTCAATTACGTGTCTGACACTTTATCAAATGCCAATGGCTGGATGAGTCTTCTTTTGGATCAAGAAATTTATACTTTGTCATTCAGCAGTCCTCTTCTTCAAAGAAATTTGCAGGTAATGAAGGTTTGTTTAATCCATCAAATGTTACAGTCTCATATTGTTATAGGAAATAGAAAAAAGAATTCTGAAGCTAAAATAACATACTATTTCATTTTAATCTAATGGAAGGATTAGGTACAGAGGATAGGATACATAGTGTCTGTATGTGATATGGGTCATTCACAGGTCAGAATGAATATTTTATAATGGGAAAGATAGCATGGAACACACTGGGCAACTCTGCATTATATGTGGCTTTTATTGGCAAGGCCACACTCTTGAAATGATTACTCATTTCTCAGTAGCAAATAAATAGCCAAATCCAAAGATAAATTCATAAATTGAGGAAGGGGCAGAGGTGAAACTTTGGCATTTATGAGTCTGCTGAAAAATTGCTGTCTCTTCTTCCTTCTCTCTTACACAATCATTAATCTTCTTTGTTGCAGTCCAGATATAATTCAGAAAGGAAATATAAATGTTTGCATGTTTCTTGTGTTCTACTCCATAGTATATAGCTACATTTGATAATTTCGCTGTTGGCAATTATCTATTATTGGAGCATGAAGGGTTGCCAGTCCACAGTCAAGTTACAGTGCTTTGTGGAAGAAGGCAAGGGCTGCTACTCCAGGCTATTCCTTCCCATAGATATCACAAGGCTTGCGACAGCTTTTTCAACAAGAAAACTAAAAAGTTAACTTATTTAGGTAAGATCTTGATGTTTAATTGATAATAATGCTCAATGAAAAGGATACACATGCTGGAATTGGTGATGGACATCACACATTAACCACAGCGTTTGAGTAGTTTACTCCTTTGTGAAGCAACTTGGAATTCCAACACTTCCTCTGAAAATTGCTTTTGGGATGTTAAGTTTGCCACCTGCTATAGGAAGGTGATTTTTTTCTCCAGAATTAAAATTTCTTTGTGCTATTCCAGGAAGCCTAAGTTCTTGGAGAAACAGGGAACACATAACAATAAGCGGTTTTATACATGGGAACTTGTTTGCGTGACTGAATCCTGGAGTTATTTCTGCCAATTTTAACCAGGGTAGTAAATATTAGTTGAAAAAGACTATGACATGGCTAAAATTGGACTAGTGCTGCGAGGCTCCTTCAAATGAACAGCATCACATAATAAAAGCGCCTTGTTCTAACTCAAGTGAAGCCTGAAGTGGGCTTTAGTCTCTTCCCTTGTGCACAAAAAGGAAAATTATTTTGTTGCATAGTTCTTTACTTTAAAGAACTCTGGAGTCTTAACTGCAAAAATTACAGAAGTTATTGCACATAAGCGGAGACTCTATAACTATTTCACCCAAGCTACATTTTTGGTCTCTTTCCATTTATCAATAACAGTGTGTCATTGCTTGAACCATGAAGTGCTTTCTCTACTGAAAGAAAAATTGGACCGTATGAGCTCAGCTCTGTTCCTCCTCTAAGATCTTTCCAAGAAAGGACCATCTGTATTTTGATCTTTTTACTATCCTTTCAAATAAAACCAGAAATTTTCTTCATTTTTAAATTGGGGAGATAGTCTCAAAAAAAAAAAAAAAAATTAGTCAGCTAATTAATCCCATTTACAAGCTTTGTAGGATTCTTCAGCTGTCAGTCACTTCCAGGCCTAAGGCTTCTAGTTTAGTGCATACTCTCCTGTTCATGTGACTCAGTCTCCATGGCTACAGGTTGCATCTGCTGACACCCATGCACTATTTACTGCTTAATTAAGAATTTCATGCTCAGCCCTTATCTGCGGCAGAGAACAAGAACATGTTGTTAAGAAATTCCAAATATAGGCCACTGCATAAGGGAAGCCTTTATTGTAGGTCTGACTCTGTGGAGCCTCTTTAACTACCCTCTTGGCAACTGAGCTGCCACCTTTCAATCAAAAATCATTAAATGGGGCAGAGATAATGAGCATGTCTTATATCAAAAGAAGGATGTTTGCTTGGGCTGAAGAGGAAAAGCTGTAAAAGCCTACCAGCCCTCACCACTTCAAAGGAGGAGAGGTTGCTCCGTCAGCAGGACCCAGAAAGCATCATTTGTTTCTGTTTGACTTATGTAAAAGGTCTGGCATGTTAGAGTCCCGTCTTGCAGCCGTGGGTCTCTTCCCACCCTCCCGCCCCTTGATGCTCGTGTGTCAGCAGTTAGGCAGCTGGGCCCTAACCATATCTGCCAGAGTATCTAATCACTTGACTCTGTCTCAACAATGGGCACTTGTAGGGGGTGGTCAGGAGGAGGTCTGTGCAACAATAGGAACACAATTATTGCAGCTGCTAGGGAGGGTGATAATTCTTCTTAGGGAAACCAAAGGGACCTTGTTGAGGTGGCAGAGAGGGGAAACCTGAGTCTATTCTTAATAACCAGACTTTTGGAAGTACTTTGCTTTGCCAGTGGGGCTCCGGCAGCTGCTCTTGTCCTAACCTTCTCTAATAATTGTACATTCTGTCCGAGGTCAATTTACTTATGACCTCCTCCTTTTGTGCCAGTTAAAAGCCTTTTAGGGTGAATTGTTGAAAAGTAGCAGGAGTGCATTAAACCCTAAATTTAATGTCAATAAATACAGATCAGATGCCAGATCATTCAGAGGCAGGCTCTGAAATTCACACAGTGTTTGCTTCAAATCTCACAGTTAAAAAAAGTCATTGTTATTCTGAAAGCTGAGCATCTGAAGGAAGACATCATGGAGACACAGCAGGAACTGTTCATCGTTAACTTAGAGGCTTTATAGTTTTCTGTCCTTAGTTGCTTAGGAAATAGCACACATATTTTCAGGTCTGAAGAGCAAGTTTACAGGATAAAAAGAAATACCAAAAATTGATATACAGAATAATGTAGCCAATCTCTTTCATCGTGTACTGAAATGATTTTGTGAATTTGCCTTGGTCATTCAGAAAATATTCTACTGAGTTACAGATAACTCAGTATATAATAAACTCCTATCCAGTAACAATTAACTTAAGCGTGTTTATTGACATACATAATTTCAAAGGGATTCTACAAAGCTGTCCAAGGATTGATTGCTTACATCCCATAGACTGGCAGAAGATATATATGCCAGGGTCAAAAGAGTTGATGTGTCAAATTCTGAAACAAAGACAATGAAGGACAATGAAAATCATCAGAAAACTTGAAATTAAGCTTTATAAGGAGACTTGGAGTGATATGGTACATTTGGGCTTGAGAAAAAAATAGCTAAGAGGAGATGTGACTATACTGTTCAAGCATCTAAAAGATGCTACAAGAAATAGAAGCAGGCTATTATCCTAGATTGCAGATCATAAAACCAAGCTTTTAATTTGCAGATATGTTTGAAAATACAGGATTTTTTTTTTTAGATTTATATCTCATTTTTCCTATAGGAGCTCAAAGCATTATGTGCAACAACCCCCCTCCTATGTTTTTCCTTACAACAACATCCTGGGGAGGTAGGCTGGACTAAAGGAGTGACTAGCATGGAAACCTTGAGTCTTTAAGTTTGACTTAAAACTGGATCTGGGGCTCCCTGGTACCAATCCAACACGTTCACTGCTACATCACATTGGTTATACATATTCCTCAATGCTTCCTAATAGCAAGAGCAGTTCAATAATGAAAGCTGTGCAAATCATTTGGAGAAGGTGCCCCTTCAAACATCCTAGTTGACTTTAGGTGTCAATCCTGGTTGAAGTGTTTCTGTGCTAGCAATGTCAGAAGATCAAGAAAAGTCTTTGAAGATGCCACTTGGACATTCTGTATAGCACCATACTATAATTTTCAAAATCAATAAACTTATCTTTTATTAATAGCAAGTTATATTTCAGATTATTACTAACTGAAATTGTGCAATTAAGAAAGAACTTTGTGGAAACTTCAAGTTTTGCAAAAGTAAAACATAAAGATAAACTTAGGTGATTAAGGGAGGGGGGAATCCAAAATGGCACAACCTTAAGATGTTCATTGACTTAAGAGTATAGATTGTCTGAAAGGAGAAAAACAAAAAAAGGCAGGAGCAGAATTGAATGGAATATCTTGAAAAAGAGCACATTCCGTATAGCTAAACACTTAAACCAGTGGTGGGATTCAAATATCTGAACAACCAGTTCTCTTATTGGATGCAGGCCTGGGCCTCCGATGCCTAGAACGGATTTCCGGAAGTGGCATCCACGCACATCTGATGGGCCATTCTAGGCCTGGGGGGCCTCCTCCAGGCCTCTGAGGCCTAGACTTGACTTCCGGAAGCTGTGTGCATTCAGCCAGTTCTCTGAACTCAGCAAAATTTAGCTACCGGTTCAACTGAACAGGCTCAAACTGGCTGAATTCCACCATTGACTTAAACCTTCTTTTGTGTATTTTATATAGTGTCCTTCAACCACATTTTGAATCACTTTAACAATAAAACATGAGAAAAAGAACTTTAGTAACGGAGGAACAATTTTCCCTGGTTTCACAAGGAGAACATTGTCAGTGCAAGATGCCTGGGAAAACTTAACCCACTCTTTCCCAGGGATTACCTATAACAAACAGCTCTTTCTTAGCACTTTTTCTCCTTAGCTGAGCATCTGACTCTTTGCAGTTTTTTGTATAAGATGTATTTAAACTGCATGGATTCATACAATGCACATCATATTATGAATATTTCAAAATATGAGATTCCTCACAATTGAAAAAAACTTTGTTTTATGGGATTAGAACAATTTTCAGCCTTTATACATCATTCTTATGTTTTACAAACTTTCTAAATTCAGTTACAGGGAAAGGCTTAATCCAAGTGACATTTAAAGTTGAAGACATATTCCCTTTATCAGAACCAGGTATGTAAATTCAGTTTAAAAATGTGGTAGTGTTTTATCAGCACTATTCACTCTAACCCATAGGATGCATTTCTGGTTACTTAAATAAACTTCTGTGTTTCTGGTCAATGTTTTCTCTGTACAGAAAATGTACATAAGAGCCATGTTTAGTGTCTGCTATAGATAGACATGACTGTATCACACTTATCTTATGCCCATTGCTGAAAATATTTAATTTTTAATTTAATTATCTGGTAAATGAAAGCACTAGTTCTGGACACCCTACATTTGCTCTCCCTTCCCAGCAACTGAATAGTGTCTTCTTTCTTTCTTTCTTTCTTTCTTTCTTTCTTTCTTTCTTTCTTTCTTTCTTTCTTTCTTTCTTTCTTTCATCCAACTGCCATTAGACTTCTGGGTGGTGAATAGGAATCCAAGGTGAGAGAGAGAGAGAGAGAGAGATGAATGGAAAGATTATAAAAATGTGTTTTAGAAGTTCAGAAGAGAAGATGATATTGCAATTAAGCAATTAATTTGTTAACTCCTCTGTTAATTGAAATATAAGCCTCATTTACCTCTAGTCTAAATATTTTGCTCTTTAAGATAATCTTTCTTATTTACTTGTTTTTTTCTTGTTGATAAAAAGGGTTAGGAAGATAGTAATGGGGAAACCTATATCTATAATTTTTATTTCACTATATCTTACTTAATACCTGGCATCCATTTAATCTATCTTGAATAACAATCCTATCAGACAGGTAGAAATTTCAGAGAACCTTTATTCATAAGTGTATATCCACTTGGGAACAAATTATCAAATTACTAGTTGCCATTTTGAGAAGCATAAACATTGTTTCCAAACATCTTGGTGAGGTTTGTCAAATCCTTACTGAGGTAGGTAGGTAGGTAGGTAGGTAGGTAGGTAGGTAGGTAGGTAGGTAGGTACGTAAGTAGACAGTCAAGCAGGCAGGCAGACAGACATGCAAAAATAAATTTGTTCTTTTTTCTTAGGTCCAGTTCCTTCTTTTTCTCCTCCTATTTTCAGATGGTCCCTTGCTGAATCCTGGAATGATGTGACAATGGGCTGGGGTGGATACAATAAAAGTATACCATCAGCTGATGAAGATGTTATCATTTTACCAAGTAATTGTATTTTGTTAATATACTATATTTTTTTATGGGCACAGAATATTGGTGAAACGATTTCAATGGATACTTGGGAACTTATTTGGATAAGAAATGTTAAATTCACACAAGCGCAAAATTTAAGAGAGAATTTTTATAAGATGTTTTATAGATGGCACCTTGACCCAAAGAAAATGTCCATTATGTACCCTAATCTACAGCCGAAATGCTGGAGATGTGGATATTTGGATGCTACCTATTACCATATTTGGTGGACGTGTAAGCATATAAAAGCTTTTTGGATTAAGATATGGTGGAATATTCAAAGAATTTTTAAAAGAAGGGTAAAATTTACTCCGCAATTATTTTTACTAGGTATTGTTATTGACTGTGATGCTAAGGAGGTTATATTGATGTTAAATTTGATTACAGCCGCTAGGTTGTTAATAGGACAATATTGGAAGAAGGAATCTTTGCCTACTTTACAAGAATGGTTTCATAAAGTTTCGTATTTGGCAGAAATGGCAAAGATTTCGGCTTTCTTAAAGGAGCAATCTCAAGAAAAATTTTTTGCGGTATGGGAAAAATGGATAAATTTTATACAACATAATTTGGATATGGAAAAATATTATTTAGCCTTTTTATAATTTGTAATGATTGTTTTTTCTTTCTTTCTTTCTTCTTTTTCTTTTTTATATATATACATTTTTAATGTATTATTATTCATATATTTTTTTTTTTTTATATATATATATGCTTTATTTTTCGTCTACTTTCTTCTTTCTTCTTTCTCTCTCTCTCTTCTCTTTTTATTTTTTATTTTTTTTCTTTTTTAGTATATATTATTCATTTTAAAGTTTATGTTATGTATATTATTTCAATATATATTATTACTGTGATTTTTATTATTATTATTAATTATTTTATAAATTGCAAATGTTATTTTTAAAATATTTGTTAAATAATCCTATATTCAGTTCTGGGAAGTCGGGGGGGGGGGTGGGGTGGTTGGGGAAGAAAAAAAAAAAAAAAATATACTATATTTTAATAATAAACACTAGAGTTTGGCACATGAATGATACAGATAATCAATCTAACATATAAATAAATACAAAAAAGCCAATTTAATATATTTTAACTTTCTGATTTCTTTATTGCTTTATTCTGCAAGTTAAATACTCATTTATCAACTCTATGCACATTTTCATATCTTCTGACATCACATAAATGAAAGGAAGTTGCTTGTGCTTACATACGTACATGTTCTCAGAGGAAATATTGCCTTTTTTGTAATAATTGGCAATCATATACTGTCATGTGAAAACAGTAGAATTTTCTCTTGAAATTTTTCAAACAAGTCTCAGACTTTTCAAAATTGGAAAGCATTTTAGAGGTCAGATGACAAATGTTAGACTGATGATTTTCTCCCACAGTGAATTTTCAAAAGAATCATTTTTTTTTTCATCCATTTTTGTTGTGAATATATAGCATCAATTCAGAAATAGCATTTAGTATCTCAGGACAAACTCTTACTTTCAAGGAGTATGGCTATCATTTGTATACATTGAGTTGAAATTGGTGGAGGATTTTCCCTGTCTTTAGCCTGTTGTACATAACACGGAATTCTGGGAATTGGACTTGGATTAGTCTACGATGCTCACAGTTTCCCATTTGAAACTATGGTTAAGTCTGTCCATGTGTGGTGAGATTAAGGAGTTTTCGTTGTGTCTTCTGACTGCTAGTTGATGTTCATAGATGTGCTCTATTAGTTTCTGCCTGTTTTTCCTACATAGTGACCATTACAGTCCTTAACACAATATACATTACAGTTTTTAAAAGATGTATTGGAGGGCTTTGGTATGGTGTATGTGATTTTAATAGTCTGTTGGTTATTTCCGAGATATCCTCATTACAGAGGAAGTGATGGTAACTTAGAAATACAAGTCTATCAGAAAACAATCCACACTAACCAAATGCTCCATTACCAAAGTAGCAATCCAACAACAGTGTTGCTCCCACAACAGGTCAGCTGTGTAAGAATATTCTTCAGACAAGTACAAACAGACTCAGAAACAACTAAGACTAAAACCCTCTAAAACATCTTAAGTAAATAAATAATAAAAAAATGTCCCCCTCCCAAAACAGAAGTAATCTACAGCACACTATGTAAGGATTTATTAAAAGTTATAAAATAATGTTGAAATTGTTGATAGTGAGAGTGTTCCATTTTCAGACGTGGCAAAATGTGTATTTAAAGTTTAAAGCCTACCTTTTTCTAAAATTTAGCTTTTTTCTGCAATTGTTAAAGATAATGTTCTGTGCTTTATCACAGTCTTATCTTAATGGCTTCCTCTGTTTCCATTATTAACTTTTCACCTACCTGCTTCTCTTAAAACAGGTGAAAATAGAGATTGTATGTAATTCCATGTTCATTAGTTTTTAATTCCATTTCTAACAAAATTTAAAACATTTTGAAATAAATTTAAGCAGTAAACAAAATTTCATTTCTTGTGTAAAGTATGCTTTTTGATTTTATACACCAAGCATATATTTGTAAATAAAGCAACCAATTGATTTTATAAAGTAACATAATAATATTTCTGGGAATTATTCATTTACAGAATGAATAGAATGCTTGGTGAATGATTCCTTTTATCCTTTGGCTATGCCCACTACCTTTGCCTCAACAAAGTAGGAATAATCCTAGTTCCTTTAAGTTAAGTTTATGCTGCAGTGTCTCTAAGCTTCAACATGTCAGTGTAGGTAACTATACATTCTCTCCCCCCCCTTTTTTTATTATAATGTGGCTCAGTGGTTAAGATGCTGGGCAACCCAAGTTTGAGACTCGAGCTCCACATGATGGGGTGAGTTCCCGTTATCACCCCAGCTCCTGCCAACCAAGCAGTTGGAAAGCATGCAAATGCGAGCAGATAAATAAGTACCACTTTGGTGGGAAGGTAACAGAGATCCATGATGTCATGCTGGTTTTGAAACAGAAATGGAGTTGAGCACCACCCCCTTTAGTTGACAATGACTAGTAGAGTAAAATCTGCAGTGACTCATATAATTCATGATACATTATATTATGAATTATATGAGTTTCTAAGCAATAATGTTTATGTAATCTGATTAAAATTACTAACATTCTATTATTTAGAAAGCTTAAAGCAGTGATGGCGAACCTTTTAGAGATCGAGTGCCCCAAAACTGGCCCCGCCCCTGCTCCACCTCCCTGCCCCACCCCACCTGCCCACAGGACCATTCACCGCCTCCAGGGCTCGCCACAGATTGCCCAGGCAGCCCAGCAGCACTATGGTGGCCACACCCTCTGCCTGCGCCCTGCAGCATCAAATGCATGATGGGGTGTGAGGGCAGAGTCTTGTCTACGCTGCTGGCTGCCATGTCCTTGGCTGTGCTGCTCCATGTGGGCCACACTCAAGGGCGAGTCTCCTTCAGGGGGGCTGCTGGAGAGGAGGGGGTCACGGGGGGAGGCAAGGCTGGGGCAATGACACGTGTGCCCATAGGGAGGGCTCCGAGTGCCACCTCTGGCACCAGTACCGTAGGTTTGCCACCACTGGCTTAAAGTATTGAAAAGAAAAAAACCCTAAACATTCTATCAGTATTAATTAGTATTTAGGATATCAATGTTACAAGCCTAAGATTAACTTTTCATCCAAAATTGACTATAACTATTACAATTCACATCAAACTATTAGTTATAAGGTAATAGCTTCAGTCTTTACTAATTACTTAACATTAAGATTTTACTGTATTATTACTTTCTGTAATAAGTAACTCAACATCTTTCTAAAATCATGTTTAATTTGGATTTTGGTGCATACTGTTGGAGCAGTTTTGGTGTATATTATAGCAACTGTGAAGAGGGCTTCACCTACCAAATATAAACTGGGGTAGTTTTATATATAAGAGCAATTTTGGACCAGTAGCTGATTGCTCATAGCTTCAAAATATCTTTAAAAAGTCAATTCATATCTGTCATTTGAATGATGTGTTACTATTGGCGCTATTGGCTGAGTGCCATCTGCATTTGTAGGGTGGGATATTTCTGTTACAGAAGAAAGGAACAGGAAAGTACAGTAGATTAACATGTATTTGAGACTTTCTTTGGGAACATTTGTAATTATTTTCATAACATTGAATGAAATCAAGGACAAATAAAGGCAGCTTTTATTCTAGCAACAGTCAAAGCTTTCCATATTGTTTTCACATTTTGTGAAATTTCCTGACACAATATATGAAGAAGGAATGAAGAGCTTGCCATATTATGTTGCATCAGATGGCATATCTATGATGTCACGTAGCCTCTGGCATTGTTTTTAGTGGTGGAATCTTCTGTCTCTCATTTGACTTTGAACTTTTTCTGTTTGAAGAGAAAGACGTTCAAGCTTTGCATCTCATATAATGATACTTCCGTTGTCCCTGTGTAGCATTTGGTGATGCATTTATGACATTTTATAAAGTAAGAATGCTGATCAAAGAGATTCTGTGTCACTACTTGAGTCATTAGAAAGCTTGTTTTATGTCAGAGCATTAAGATTCTGCTGGATTTCTGAAAAAAATTCAGATTTCTGAATTTTTGTGTAGAGAAATTAACAAATGATATGAGAATGATATCCTTTTAAAATAAATACTAGTATTTTCTGAATACTGTTGCATATGGGTGGAGGCGATACTGAATTAAATCTAACAAAAGCTCGTCTGAGGATTTTGTGACCTTGGGAATATCAGGTTTGGTCACGTTCTTGAGGATTTCCCTACTCAATGGACATATATAACCAGAAGTATATCAGAGCCTTAAGTGTTTTGCATTTCTTAATTCTACAAAAGAGCCTTCTGTTGTTCTGGAGTATATATATTTCTTTGTTACCTATTATGCCAGAATATTATATATAAAATTATCTGCTCAAATTAATGAACTGTAGCATGAAAGCTCCTTCATCAGAAGTTATGGAGCATAATCACTATGCTGGTCCAACGTGAGTTGGTAAATATATTAT